CACTGTGGCCTTTTCGCTTATTAGCACTGTATGCGGTTCTAACTGAGTGGTACTCACTAGGCATCGGCCTTTGAGGTCCTTTTCTCTAAAAAAGTAACACCCTAAATGTATCGGACTATGGAAGCTTTTACAGCCAGTCCACAAATTAGTTGAAGAGTTTTCCGGGCGATAAGGCATTCACTACGATTAATCCCAATGCGTTCCTGTTCTCTATCCCCACCACTGATAGACGCGCAAGGGATAGTATAAAAACAGCAGCAGCACCAGTTGACGAACCAGTTATAGGTGGGACTTCAACTGGTCCACTCCAGATGTGACTTTCTTTTCTGAAAACTTTTCAACCCATTTGATTACTATTGAAACAGTCTCAACTTACGCGATTTTAATACTGGCATGGGCAAATTCAATCATTTTATTGGGCGCCGGTACTGGTGGGTATTTAACATTGAATGGCTCTCGAAAGAACTCTAGCTTGTATGGATCACCAGGAGATTTCCTGGCCAGACTACAAGTGGGCTGATCCGACAATGTCATTATCTCTTGGCTCATAGCGTTGAAAATAGTGTCACCAACGGGATGGCTGCTATTAACGTTCACATTTATATTAATTAATTTCGGACGATTTTTGCAGGTAACACTTAGTTTTTCTCGTCTTGTTAATTTGATAGATATCTACTTACTGAATCTTTATAAAGTATTTTTCGAAAGCCTCAAACTCATTTTTGTAAAACTTTTTCAGGCCGCAGACAGGATCGATTTCTGATTCACCCCGGTGGCGATATGCATAATCCTCTACTTGACTGGAATAAATGGCTTAAATATGAATGTAAAACCACAACCCTGCCTCACTATATACTTTTTTAAACATTTGTTATCCGATTTTGCTTGATCTGCGTCTTTTAATGGGAGCTTTAGGCTTATAACTTGTGGATCAGCCCAATAATAAGCTTGGGGTTTGGGTTCTACACACTGAGTAACGATAGGAGCTCTGGAAATGACGCTGTTATCAGCTTCAAAGTGACTAACTTTGGAGCCACTAACTCCTTTATATCAGATCAAAAACCCACCGTGCAGTAACAATGTCAGCGTTTGTTTCTACTGCTTGATTTGTGCTCTTCGTTGATGCGGCGAGTTTCTTTTCAAATTGCGTCTTGTGCCGCTTATTTCTTTCTTTAGACATCCTTAATATTTCAAAACACTAACGTGAAGAGCACAGAATGAACTATAACACTATCTAAAGGCCACCGGATGCCCTGACCGTGTTTATTTAAATATATATTGATTGATCTCTAAAAATCTGTTGAATTCAAGTAAGGAATGCTTGACGGTCACATTGCAGTAAAAGGAATTTTCGGCAGAACATTTTTGGGAAATCGTGAATATACAGACAAAATCTACAGGGTGTCCCGTAAGCTCATGATCAATAGGGTACAGCGATATTCTTTGGACCAAAAGAAGACGATCTGACCTAACTATTATTAACAAAAAATGTCTGGCTCCTCTGCTATTGAGGGTCAAAGTTCTTCAAAAAAATTATCTTTTTCGAAATATCGGGAGAATGGTACGATGTATTTTAGTGAAACTCGCTGTGAATTTGTTCTTATGTAATACTCATATTTTGATGAAACAATCGAGTTCAGCCATTTTGGACAAGTGGTGAATTCTTGAGTGTCGTGATACAAAAACTACCAGAACTTTTTAGTTGGAGGATGAGATCAACTCATTTTTTTAGGCTGATGCACTCAATTGTTCACAATTTTGTACTCTTTGTAAAATCTTGTAGCAGTCATAGCTTGTGCGTAAAAAAATATGTCTGTTTTCTAGTCACTGCTAGACATTTACTACAATACTTACTTATGTAGGTACACGGTTTTTGACTAGTTATTTTCTGGACAATCATCGTTCTTTTCTTGTAAATTGAAATGCATGTGAAATATAGCAGATTAAGTAAAAATAAATTCTGGAATGCAAAAATGTGATTTTTTCGATTTTAAATGTAAAAAGCCAATATTTTATGCAAGCGGGAATTTCACAATTATTTCTTCAAAAACCGGTTAAGTCAAAGAGTGCAATTTGTGAGTATTTATTAGCGCAATGTATGTTCAGTAAGTAGAACGCGTATCGATTTTTACTCATCTTCAAGCAATTTTTAAGAATTTTCAAAATCGCGTTTAATTTTTCGAGTTGTTCATGCAGGGCTAAGTTTGGCATTTATTTTTTCAGAAACCAGAAAGTTTTGAGATTCAGTTTTATGAGTGCTTTAGAGAACAAAGTGCGACATGTGAAAAAAAATTGAGTTTGAGTCTTCGTCGAGCAATTTTGAAGCATACGAATACAATAAAACATATTTTTTTTAAGGAAAAACGAGAGGTGCTGGCAACGCTACGTCCGGGCAGGTTGTTGTCGAACAAACAAAACAATCTGCTAGGTTATGTTTAGTGCAATTGTTGTTTATTTCGGGTTTTATTAACAAATTATTCACAATGCAGGACTTTCTTGCCGAAAATAATGCGTGCGGTCAAACTCTGCTACTGTTAGTCTCCAGAGGAAATGCTATCATTGCCGAATTGTTGCGTCTGAAGAACTTCATTCCCCAGGTTTACAGGTAAGTGACTAACGGGGCCTGTTTTGCTAAAAATTGTAACAACGGTGCACTGGAATCGCTCAAATCCGCTGCAGGCTAGATAGCAAGGAGGATGTTCAAAAGTATGGGGAAATTATCTTGGACTTTTCGTATCTTCGCACATCAGAGGCACATGAGCTAAAAGTCGAAAACAATGAGGTGAGTCTGACTAATTTCGCTTACTCTGGCAAGCTGCAGGGTTTAGGTATTGCCCTGCAGTCTGTAAGAGTGCACTAAGGGTATCTTGCTAGGCATTGCGCGAGCTTGATGAAGAGTTCCGAGACAACTACATAGAAATCATAAAGAGGTTCTATTTGCTTTTTGAAAGCATCCACACTTACATCACTGACCTGAATCACTACGTAGAAGAGCTAGAAGAAGGTGTTTACATTCATCAGTCTTTAGAGATTGTATTTCAAGATGCCGAAGGCAAACAACTTCTGGTAATCCAAGCGCCGTTATTATTATTACTATAAGCCTATTATTCAGGGTTTTCCTTCAGTGCGAAGGGCTTTTTCTCTTCGGATTGATGTTGATAATGGTGGATGCGTACATCGATGGGCCCATTAGGGAGAGGCTGTTGATTTCGTATAATCGTTACACTCCTCAAAGACGGGACACGCAGAGCTCTTTCGATGAAGTGTGCAAGCTCCTGATGGACACCAGCTATAATACGGCTCGAAGACTTCAGAATTACCCGGAAGATTATTTCCGGTTAGTCTAGTTAGAGAGTTAGAGAGCTTTGGGTCAAGTACGCAAATTATTAGGAGGGTGCCAGTGAATTCAACTTACGTCGAGATGGTGATTGGGAGATTACGTTCAGACGACATTTACGCCCAAATGTCCGTTTATCCGTTACCCAAACACCGAAGCACCGCGCTCAGCCATCAGGCCTCTATGCTCTATATTTGCCTATTTTTCTCGCCCGCCATACTCCATTTTGAGTGCGCTGTTATGAGGGAGATTGTTGATAAGTATTTCCCAGATAACTGGATTGTCTCGGTTTACATGGGGTAGGAACTGGCTTGGTGATGGGGCTGATTAACCAGTTGATCTGGCTGAAATTTCCAGGTTTATAGTAAATTTAGCTGACACCTGGGATAATTTCAAAGCCGCCAAACAAGCGCTTAATAACACTCTGCAACTGACAAATCTTAAGCACTATTCGGGTACTTATGGCCAAAAAGTGCCAGAGTTGCTGAAATCCAGCAACTCGCTCCTCAAAGAAGGCACCGTTACCAGAGAGTCGCTGCTGAAGGATATTCAGGGCATTGTGAACACTTTGAGGGAGTGCAACGTGGCTTTGAGGTGGCTGGTGCTGCACACTGTAGTAAAGCCAGGTAGTCCTTAAGCAGACCCACCCAACGCCCTCAACCTCAAAGCCAAGTCTTTTAGGTACCGCGGAAAAAAACAAACGCCTGAAGCAATACAGGGACATGGTAATAGCGGAGTCGAACTGTGATCAAACCAGCGTGTTCAAGCTGCTGCTCAACACTGCTCAATTGGAGCTGGTAACCAAAGAGCTCTATAAGGGCTTGATGAGTGAAAAGGACACGCAATGGGAGAGCCTCAAAGAGGCAAGTCATAAGGGGCTATTGGAACTAGCCGATGTCTTCAGCGGCACGCAGGCCTTGTCGAGAGTGAAGAAAAACGAAGATCTGGAACAGTGGTTTCGGGAGATTGCCAAACAGGTTCAGGACTTAACCAGGGAGAACTCGGGCTCTTCTATGAAATTGGTGCAGCTGATCCAGGCCCTGGAGGATGTCCAAGAGTTTGAGCAAATGTCCAACAATATGCAGGTATATCGGGTGTTTCAAACAGCGGTAGTAGAGTAGTCGTTACTCAACAATATGCCTTACTGGGGAATAAAAAAGCAATTTTCTCCCGTTCTCAATGATGCGATGTAGGTGGTTCAGTTTCTAACTGAAATCAGAAAGGATCTCGATCAGATGATTAGGACAATGAACATCAAAGAGGACGTTCTGATCAACCTGCAAATAATCGGCGATCTTAGCTACGCTTGGGAGTTGATCGATTTCTACACAAATATTATGCAGAACGGAATCAAAAGAGAGCCAAAGCTGGTTACCAAGCTTCGAGCAGTTTTCCTCAAAGTGCGTTCTATATACTAATTTACTAGCCGAGGATCAACGCGTAAATTTCCAGCTAGCGTCCGCTGTCGAACTGCCCCTGTTGCGCATAAATCAAGCCCATAGCGAAGACCTGATTTCCGTGTCAGAATACTACAGTAAAGAGTTGGAAATTTACGTGCGTAAAGTGCTGCAAATCATCCCCAGTACGATGTTTGAAAAGCTGGCGCGAATCATTGAGATGCAAACGAACGTTATCAAAGAACTGCCCAGTCGTGTGGACAAGGACAAGCTCAAAGAATTCGCCCAATTGGATGAACGATTCGAGTTTGCAGAGCTCACACACTCAGTGTCGATCTTCAGTCAAGGTAGCGACAAACCGGAAAATTCCTTAGGGATGCTGATACGGCTTTTTAGGGATGCGCCTGATGAAAAGCACCTTGGTCGGAGTGGTTTGCTTGGATCCCAAGCAGCTCCTGGAAGACGGCATTAGGAAGGAGCTGGTCCAGCACATTTCCAACGCTTTACATAAGGAATTCACATTCAGTCCCAAGCCCAAGCAGGACGAGCTGGAGACAAAGCTGAAGAGCCTTGGCTTGGTTATGGATGGCTACAAACGGTCTTTTGAGTACATCCAGGTTGGTTAGGATAGCCATTGCGTCTAGGACTTAGCGGGTTTAGACAACCAAATCGGTTGCAGGACTACATCAACATCAACGGCCTGAAAATCTGGCAGCAGGAGGTGACCAGGATAGTGAACTACAACGTGGAGCAGGAGTGTAACGGCTTTTTACGCAACAAGATCCATCCATGGCAGAGCGCGTACCAAAACCGCTATGTGCCAATCCCTATTTACCCTCCTCAGGATCAGAGCGAAAACTTCATTGGTCGGCTGGCTCGCGAGGTCATTCGATTAACTGATCCACGGTTGGTGAGTTATCACTAATTGACTTGATCTAAGTAGTTTCTCGGCAGTAGCTCAGCAGTGTATTTATCCACCACATCGACGTGGTACGACATAAAACTACACAAGCCAGTTCTCACCAAGGAAACCATCGCCTCCATTGCGCAAACAGTGGAAGTGACGGGGCTGGTTGGACTCGACAGGCTATTCTCCTTCATGATCACCGCTGCTTTGCAAAGGATTATGGGTGAGCGTGCAAATGCCATTTCATCCCCATCCTAATAACATCTATTAGCTTATCTGGAAAACAAAAACATTAACACCTCATGGATCAACGTGTTGAGTGCCATCCAAAACGACATGAATCAGCAGCCTGAGAGCCCATCTAATCCGCTCAAAACCTACCAAACATACGTGAATAGAACCACCAAAATCTGGACAGAGTTTCTGGATAAGGCCTTGCTAGTGGGTCAGTTGCAGCTGCTTAGGAACCTGATCGCGTTCCACTTGAACAAATCCTGCAGGTTCAACGCCAAGAACCTGGAGTCTTCCTTGCGCTCTTTAAACAAGTAGGAAACCGGCTGGTTCTTTTGCACAGCGTTCATTAAAATGTTCTAGATCGTTGCTCTTGGACCTCAAGCAGAACCAGCCGTTGCCGCCGGAGGACGTGATGAAGAAGCTCTCAGAGTACTTCGACTACGCCGGCCTAAACGAGCCGTTTAGCAAAGTCTATGTTCCTACAAAGAACAACCCGAATCACTGCATTACATTGTTTTTATTCGTGTTAGCCCATATTAGGCTGATGTTTCTGCCTCAAAACTTAGGTAGTAGTCCTGGTGGTTTTCAATGGAAACGATTCAATTTGCGGTCTTTTAGCCACTCTACCTAAGCGTACAAGCGAACAACTGGATGGCGTCGCACTATCGGTTGGAGTGCATACGATTTTAAAGCAGTTCCACTGCACTATAAACGATGGCTTTATTAAACTAGTAGCTGACTACGTTCTGCAACTTTCCAAACAAAATGGGTAAGTTTTCGTGGATTTAAATTAAAACAAGGCAAATATTCCTTTGATGGGATGCAAACAAAGTCATGCAGAGGAAACAAAATCAAATAAGATAAAATTGGCATTGTATTTAAGTGCGAAAGCTCCGGAAGTCTTACCCGAAGTAATCATGATGATAAACTTTATGGACTGCTACACCGATTATTCAGAAGCTTCCCGTACTTTCTACCGCCAACGACTGCCTGAAGAAATCCTCCTGATCCAGCAGTCGTTGATATCGTCCAACGTGTGAACCGAAAAGCAATTGATAAACTGTTTAATAAAAACTTTGATGGCAAATTGACAAAAACATCATTATTCTAGTCGGTGATTTGAGTCAATAGGGCAGTTCCTTTCAAAATCCAGTAGCTCTGTGCTTGTGCGGTGGGCAGCAGCACCGCAATCACAAAGTTGGTACTGTGGCCAGTGGTAGAAAGAACTCCCGCCCTTATGGAGGTCTTGTATAAAGGGCAGACGTAGCGAGGATCGTCTTCCGGCATATTCGTAGTGGGCGTCATGTGAATTACCGGAAACGGGGGGTTGATTTCGCCTAGAACCGTTCCATTAATGATAGACGGGAGAAAAGAATTCTACAGTACCGGGTTTGGGATCAACCAGCTTCATTGCCTTCATATCCCACCTGCCGGCATCCACAAATAGGCCATGAACTAGGACGCCGTCTTCTGGTGCTACTAAGGGGCGGTACAAGTCGTAGACCTAAATAATGTTCCTCAGCTGTCCTTTAAAAACCCTTCTTGGCCTAATATATTTTACCTCTTTGCCTTCAGCATCGTGCTCCAACTTGATCTCTTCCTGGCTCAGATTGACTGGCTTAATCACAAAGTCAAATTTCAGCTTATCGATGGGCAGGTTGTATTTTCGTGCGTGCGTCTGAAGCGTGCCCGTGAGGAAACCTTGTGGAAAATAGAACCCCGAAAGCCAATAGGAGATTGGATGGCCTGACCGTAACCAAATCTACCCAGAAGTAGACATATTTCATCGGTACAACCGGCAATCATTATACATACACTAATAAAATCCAACCGTAAAGTGAGATCAAACACCCAACTGCCAAGACTCTTGAGCGAATTGTACGCCTTGGCTGACCACATCTTTGGCACCTAAAACAGATCAGGGTAAAATGAAGCGCTAAACGCTAAACTTACCCTTGATAGACACCTGGTTGTTCATGAAGGCCTTATAAACGTCCTCCAAGGCTTCAGACATCACCACCAGGCCCTTGATGGCCTTCTTCAGCTGGTCCATTGAGGAGTGGACGAGTTTCAACAGCTTATTATATCGGTCAATTTCTTGCGTCAGGACGGTGGTCAGCGAAGGCACGCGACCTTTGTCATCTTTCTATTAGAAGAAGTGAAGGTTTAGAGTTGGTAAATGGTTCTTAGTGCGCCCACCTTAAACAGGTAAATGTTGACTTCTTCCGACTGAATTTGGGGGATAATCGCGTTGATAACGCTGTCCGCCAGCTCATACACGATCTCATCACTTGACTTGCCTTCACCACCTCCATCCGATCTGGGCTGGCACTCCATGATGGTTCGGATAACCGTTTGCGTTTCTTTTATCTGGAATATTCAACAGGATTGTGAGAATGTGTAAGGCCTATGCAAGGCCGATGAGGAAAACTGCATTTCCAAAAGTGAAACAAAATTCTGAAACTGCATATATGAATTTAAACACAGCTCGCAAAACCCCAAACTTATCTCCATTTAATCTACTATATATCTCTTTAAATTAGAACATTTTCATGAACATCGGTTTAACGCGCTACCTAAGTCCTTAAGACAATAAGTGGAATCGTACCTGGAAAGCTATATTGGCGTTTTCATGCATCCCAAAAATTTCCGGTTCCTCAATAATGGGGAATTTGTCAATAAATTCCCGGTATTCTGCCAAGTGCGAGTAATCCGGACAATAGTACGTCCCTGACGCCGAATATTTGTAATTTTTCGTCAAAGTTTGGGCCGAAAAGAAAATTCTTAGAATGGTCTTGAGACATCTGAGGTCCCAGTAGTCGGTCACTCGGCCACCATAAGTTATCTCCCCTGAAATCAGATTGAAAATACCCATCGCCCCACTTAAATTCCACGGAAGTTCCACATACCAGTCAAATACTCCAAAGCGTCCCAAGGAATAACTCCTTCAGCACAAAACATCTGGAACGTGTTGAAGGCAAAGTCCCTATCACTATCGTTGAACTCATAGACAATATTCCATCCCAGTGGGCCAAATTTCTTCCTCTCCTGCACCACTGCATGAAACATGCAGATTCCAAACAGAATCGTTCGCCACTTTTGCTGCAGAGCTGTTAGAAAAGTTACTCATTTTGGCTCCAGTTTGCCTCCTGCCCAACACTCACGATGCTCCTCGAAAAATCCCTCCAACATCTCCGCAAACGCTCTCTTCATGTTGGCCCTCAACCCTTTGGGAGGCTCGTTGGTAACTTTAACTGAATTCTGCAAAACAGCCACCGGGAAGCACTTGGAAGGCATCGAGCTCATGAACAACCTGAAGGCTTTGTTGAGTTTGGCCGCGTTTTCGGCAATTTCCAACACAATCCGCTCCATGGAAAGCATCCAGGAAGTGGCCAGATGACAATTCTTTAACAGGCAAATTTCAAGGGGGGGTTGGAAGCTTTGTCTTGCAAATACCTGCAAGAAAATCCAGTCGCCAGTTTCCAGAGCGCCGTGAATCAAACGCTCGGCTACCGGGCCTTGCCCTTGGCCTAGAGAAATCGACTTCAGCTTCTCAGTGAAGCCCATTTCGGCTGCAAACCTTTGAAAAGCTCCGAACGGATCAGAACCGGTGCTCAGAACGAATATTAGGGGAACTGCATTGGACGTGTCCTGATATCTGGTTTGAGTGGGCAAAATTGTTAGTTGGAAAATTCACTGCTTCAGTTCACTTACAAGAGATTCAATGATACTTGCGGGCTCTCGATGAAGGCCTGCCCCAAGTTGAGCTTGACAAACTCTGTAATGGCAAAAACCAGCTTTTCTTCCTGCATGGTTTTGATCAGCATCAGTTTCTCAAAGTCCGTCAGGGTGTGATCCCAGTCCACTTTACTCGCTAGAGCGGTGGATACCACTTTGATCACCTTTTTAGAAATTTAGTTGGAGAAATATGGAAAAGATCAATTGATTTTTGCTTACCAAATGGTAACTTCCCACTGTAACAGTCATCGCCCTGGTAATTTCTTCGGGCAGACCCCGAAACTGCTCGTAGGAAGAAGCCAAATAATTCGCGGCCTGCCACATTCCATCGGTCACTGTCGCCACCTGAAATAAACACGTAAAAGTCCCTGTTCCAATATAAAATTCCTGGCATACATCGGGTTTTTTTGTGCCACTTTTACTGCCAACCGGCCCTCTAAGCAGGAAGCTCCATTGAACCTCCGAAATCCTGCCCTCCTGCTGCATGATGGCAATGCACAGCATGAAACTGAACACCAACTTATGCCTTTCGAAGAGCCCTCTAGATATAATTGTATAAACCGCTAGAGTAATTTCTACTCTAAGTGTGTTTAAGCGTTTCTCCAAAACTGGATCTTTGGTAGAGGTCAGGATGACATTGTCGAACACCTAGAAGCAAATGGGGAAGTTTTAACCAAATAACTGTTTGATTTCAATAGACAGTCTCACTTGGCTGAAGTATTTTAGCGAGTATTGATACATGGGGTCGATTTCCGCAAGTTCGGCAACCACAAAGTACAGTACCGAGCCCCTAGTGGCGACTGATCGGTACTTTTCGCGTGCAATCGAAATTTTTTCTTCCGTAGCCTCCGTTTCAACCAGTCTTGCTTCTATGATGGCAGAAGTTTCCTAGCAAAACCACAGTTACCAACTGATGGCCATCAGGCAACAACCCAATTACTTTGCTCTCGTTCAAAGTTTCAATGAGCTCTTCATCGTCCAGAATGTTGCCCTCAGAGTGATACAGAAGGTACAAAATCTTATCCTCGATGCCCTTCAACTGGGTCTTGTCGGCGTTAATGCGCACAACCAGCTCGTTCCTTTGCTGCTCCAACTCAGGCCTTTCCAATCTCACCACATCCCTAAAACAGAGTTTACAATCCAGAAAACATCAGAGCGAACAGCTTACGCCAATAGCTGATCTTCTAAGCCGGATGGTGTGACCGTGAAGTTGACGATGGTCACTTGAATGCAAATTTCCGGAAGATAGTGCGGATTAGCCAGTTTGGTTGTGATGTAGAGCTTGAAGTTCTGGTCATATTCCACGTCCGAATCGCCCAGATGGATTAGAGTTCTCCCGCCCTATTGATGAGAACGATAAATGAAAAAAAATGTCTCAACGGAGAAAAGCTCAAAGGAGTACCAGTACGAAGGTTTGCTTCATGAGTATGGGCGCCAAGGTGGGATCGAGAGTTTCTCCCACTTCCTCCAAAAGAACCGGCATTCCTATTCGAATCCCGTTTTCCAAAACGCGCATGAAGCTCGAATCGGTCAGTTTAATGATTTTCAAATTGTTGCCACCCTCCATTTGCCGGATCCATCTAACAACGTCCCAATGTTCAAAGTCCTTTAGGGAGTTCAAAATATATCGCCTCTTCCTACCTGTTGGCTTGCTCTTGAGGATCAATCATTAGCGGCCAGCGGCCTGCTTTCGTGACCATGATGGCATTTTCGGTCGAAACACTGTCTCTTGGCAGGCCGCAGGAGTTCCACATTCTGATCTCGTAAGCGTCCGCCAGTACATTTAGCAAACTGCAAATCAACTCAAAGTATATTGGCCGAAAACCGCAGAATTTTCGAGTACTCACTTGAAATTCTCTGTGGATGGGATGGACTGTTCAATGCATTTCGTCTCCCACATGCTGGTCAGTTCTTGTCGGTAGTTTGCAGTAAACGCCCCTTGATAAGCTACGCAGGCGGCCGCCATGAGCACATCCCCCACACAGTTGGTCAGTTCAATGGCAAATTTCTGTCCATTGATCTTATGAGAGGACAAACTTTTAATTAATTGGAATGTTTACCTTGACGCTTTCTTCCCATCTAGTCTGCTCGTCGCCTAGCGCAATATTCAGCCGCCCCGCTCTATTGAGCCTTGCAGATGTGAGTGCGATGTTGTTCTCCAACGCCTCCTTCTCAGCCACTGTAGCATTGAACTTGGCTTCCAGGCCTGCAATCATGGCCTCAACGTCTGCCAGCTGCTTTTGCTTCTCCCTCAGCAAAGACATCACTGCGTTCAGTTCTTTCTCCGCTCCCTGGAGCCTGCAAATGTCCAGTGATGGAAATGGAAGAAGCAAACTGTTTTCGTTTTACTTTTTCCTTTTGGGTTCCACGATTTTGTACACTTTGGCGTACATGTCGACAGCGCGTACCCACATGCACAGACTCTTGCAGGCCCTGCTTACTGTAACCACTTTCTCAGGAACAAAATCGGGATGCTCGATGTAGGTCTTCAATTTCTTCAGCATCAGATCGGTAATGTGATCTTTGTCGTAATCCTGCAGTTTCTTTAAGAAGTTTGTGTCGCCCAGCACCACTTTGGCCGCAGCCCAATCAGTCCTTCAAGCCAAGTCATATTAATGCGAACAGGTTGATGAGTCCAAAACTCACTTCGCTCCAAGTAGAATGCAAACGCTTTCCATCACAAACTGGACGAGTTTTGGCGGTTTTTGAAACACTTTCACTTCATTGATGTCGTTCTTGTTCAGCGCCTCCAGGGCTTTGGTGGCTGCGTCCAAAGCAGGCAGGGCGGTGTCCAAATCTCTTTGAGCATCGTCGGCTAACACTTGAGTTTCATCAGCTTTAGCCTAAGAATATTGCACGAGACTGTCAGCTGGAAGTTTCAGGTGCTTTTGACTAGGAAAATGTGCAAACCTTGGCAGTTTCCTCATCGCCTTTAACAGTGACTCGCACTTTATCGGCGGATTTCTGCTCCTTGGCCAGATTTTTCATTAGTTCCGCCACTGCTATCGACTTTTTGGCCAATTCCGGCTCCAAAGCAATCAACGTCTCTTTCATGGTGTCGATAACGTCGTTTGTTTGATACAGTTTCTGTAACTCAATCGTCAAATCGGCCTAATAAAACCCAGCCACGAAGTTACCTGCAGCCCATTAGCGATCCTATCGCGAGTCTTGGTGATTTTATCCTTGCGGTCTCTGAGCATGACTTTGTAGAGCTTGATCAGCTCCAAGTAACTGCTGGGGGTTGTGTAGTAGTAGCGCTTCATTTCCCGATAGAACCTTTAAGGAAAACAATCAAATCTCCCATGTCAACTTGGGTTTTGAGGAGTTTTACTTTTCCGTCATAATCTCCACACTTTCATGTATAGTCACGCAAACTATGGCCAGGCTGTCGCACAGTTCGACGCTCCCCAGGGTTTTTAGGCTGGACTGCGCTACAGATAGTAGAGCTTCTTGGGGCCACTTTTCGAACCAATCTATCGTGCAACAGTTCACCAATGAGGGAAACATTCGGCAACGACGCCTGAAAACTCAAAAAATTCAGTAACAAACTACCCGGTCCTGATGCGGGTTACCTGAAGGCATCCCCTACTGGACTCATACAAATTACCAGGTGCAAATTGCTTCTCACTCTGCTAATGAAGTACTCGTAGATGTGGTCGCGGCCATCTGGACATCCAGCCTTTTTCGCCGCATCCCTGCAGCCGATGACGACTTTCTCGTATTCATCGGCCTCAAAGAGATTTGGCACATCACCTGTAAGAAAAACCTGCAAACTCCATCCTCAAGTCTTACCACTACTCTCATACCAGAGTTTAACATATTGTTGATATCCTCCAAGAATTCCTCCTGCACGATTTGAGTGTCGGTGAACAGAAACACCGTGTCCATATTTCCCACTCCGGCGTGGGCGTACATTTTACGCAAGTCCTCGAAGAAGGAGGAGTGGTCGTAGTTGCGCACCAGCTCAATTTGGAAGCACCTGAAACAAGTTGCTTGCTCAACAACGACGCTTTTCTTCTGAGTAGACAATCGCGTACTTGTAGCCGTTCACATGGGAGGCGAGTTTAGTCAAGCTCTGTTTTCCCATGCCGCCCACCCCCACTAAGAGGGCGTTGCCCCGTTCTGAGCGCAAAATGCGCGCTATTCGTACACAATGTTCCACAGCCATCATGAAGAATATCACCTGCATGTCCTTGTTGTACATCAGGTTGAAGTCATCCAAGTAATCCTGCAAGTCCAGTTTACTAGACAACTGGAAGGGGGAAGTAAAGAGGGTTTACCTGAAGAAGGCTCTTCACTTTATCAATGTTCTTCAGTTCCTCATAAATGCGGTTTTCCCGCTCGGCCCCAAACTGCATAAAATCGCCAAATAGTAAAATAGGCGGGTTTTCAATCAGACCGGTGTTGTCGGGCAGTTGCAGCACCGGCGTGCCAAAGTTCCGAGAGCAAATCTCCTTCATCAGATAGTAGAAGTATGACTTGTCTTCCACGTTTATCAGCCTGAAATGGGTTTTTCCAAAACTACCATTTTTCCACTATTTATCAAGTGTACCTATCATGAAACACCCTCAAGCATTCATGGTAAAACAGGCGCATAATTTCCATCTCTCCCCTCATGGTGCCGGCGTCCGCTTGCGTCACTCCTTGCACGCACTTGGACAAATCCCTCAGATTGAAAATATAATGGGACTTTGAAGGTGTAGGTAGCAAGTCTCTGGCGATCCGGTCGTAAATGTCCACAGCTGCGTTGACCATGTAATCGCCCAAGTCGCGACATTCGTTGGAAAAATCGTTCAAAAAACCCTTTAAGATCGCCTGGAAATCACCACTTGTAAAGTCGCATAGCAATAAAAATCCACTTGTACCTTGAAGATAGCTTTAAGGGCCAACTCGTTTGGTGAGGGTATTAACAGCATTCCGAAATGCCGCACAAATCGTGGGGTGAGAGGGTTTCTGCCGCCGCCAGGCGGCGCGCATGCCGTGGTCAGAATCACATCACGAATGTCCTTCCAAAAAAGTTTTTCTCGGTCGTACAAACCGCCATAGTCTAATAGTTGCCTAAGGAATAAACCGTACAACGCATTGTAACTCCTTAAATGGCAGGCTCTTACCTGATCAACTCGATTGGGGGCTGCGCCCCATAAGTCTCCAGCTTCGGCATGTTGACATCATCAATGAATATAATCACTTTCTTCCCTAATGGAGCTCCCAACAAGGTCTTCTTCTTTCTCTCCAGCTTCAGTTCAATAATCTCCTGCGTTCGCATACTGCTCGTTTGCGCCGAGAAGTTCATGGTGGCGGGCACAAAATGCTCGGATGCGCCCAACCGGTTCAGCACATCCTTGGCCACTACAGATTTTCCCACTCCCGTGTCCCCCGTTATCATTACCGGGTGTCCCACATGGATCAGCCGCTCCATAATGTAGCCGAAGCGCACCGTGTCCAGAGTGGGCACCAAGGTGTCAAAGAAGGGCGTCTCCTTGTCGTAGACGAACTGAGGCATGATGTTCTGCCATGGGGTTAGGCGCTTGGTCTGGACGTCCATGTAGACGTACCACATGTCCTGGCCAGGAGGCAACCTAGCTCAATTTTAATATGTTGGTTCAAAATCGGCGTCAATCCTCTTCGCCATAAGCTACCTGGCGTCGCTGCATTCCTCAAACTGGCTCTGAACGAACACTTCAAACTTCTCCCTGCTATCTTCTGTGATGTTGCCTCCAAGGCCCCACATGTACGAAGAGATGAATACTTGGCAGACGAAACAGCGCACTTTGGCCCTTTCCCCAATCTTCTCCATGGCGCCTGGTAGAGCCATATGGCTCTGGATCAGCGAACATATCATTTTCACTTTTGAAACCTCGACCTAAAGAACAGGCCCGTTCAGAATTTGCCTCGCCAACCACAAACACAAGCTCCACAAACCTGATGTATTGCGTAGATGCAATTTTTCTTCACAAAGTCAAAGCCGTCTTGCACATAAGTGGCAAAAAGGCTGGTAAGAAATTCCTTCAGTTCTTCATTCAAAAGGCTGTCGCTGATAGTGTTTATCCAGGATTTCACGTAGGGCATCCACTTGAGTTCCTCAGAGTCGACGAACACCATTCCACATCTATACAATTTGCGCTGTTAGTAACCAGAAGTTTGAGGGTGAAGATATTTGACACCTGCTAACAGTGGCGGGAGAGGCTTGAGCCAGATCTTGCACCTCAAACACCATGTGAACGTACGGGGTCAACTTGATCCTTTCCGAATTGGCCAAACAGAGCATTTTGTTGTCATCCAGGACGGTGTTAAGATTCTCTATCCACACGGCGTCTACCGGACCGTCACAGATTATCCACTGATGATCCTCAGTGGTGGACTAACAACGAGTCTGATCAAGCAAAGGGCGACAATCTAAAGCCGCATACCTGTACAGCAGTTCTCATCATTATCCCCATGAGTCCATCGCGCCATTCCAAGGTAAAAGCATTGACTTCTCCATACAATTCCCCAGCAGAGACGGCTTTGGGATTCATGATGTAAGTGTGCACTTGGTGGTAGAATGGACCCTCTTGTCCGTCTTCGCACATTTTGGTTAGAGATCCATTCAGGGTCTAAGCAAAACTTTAATTAGCTAAGTTTTCAAGAGTTAGAGTGCCTCTGCGTACATTTAAAATCGTCGTTTTTCCGCCCCCAGTCGGCCCAACCAGCATAACGCCCCATCTCACTATCATGGTCTCATAGAGCTGAATCACTTTGTTGATCATGCATAGTTCTGGCTGCAGATTGTTGCTCTTCATTATCTCCACCATGGTCTCTTGGAACACTCCGTAGTCGCTCACTGGGAGTTCAGTGCCCGGGAACAGATCGCCCAAAATGCCCTAAAAGTATTTGATTGCTCACTCTAAACCTTAGAGATTCTATCAACCCACTTGAAACAGAACGGCATCGTCTGACAAAAACTTCGGAAGATTACTGTCCCGCAGGGCACAGATAAGAACCACGTCCTCGTTTCGATCGGGGTTGGCCCTCTTCAGGGACCCGGCCATCACCAGAACGCTTTTAACGGCCCTCATGCCGAAGTCGTAGTGGTCCTGTTGCGACAACTGCTCACTGCACAGTTTGTACATTTGGACCATTTTTTGTGATAGATTTTTCGACGACTCGAACCCTTCCGAGTATAAAATCACTTCGGCGATTAGCGCTGAAAGGCTGATTGATAGCGACCAAACAACTAGCTAGCTTAGTCCTACCGTAGTCAGGTACCATCATCGATATGGGCCTAAACAGGGCCTTCAAATTGTCCGGCAACTCAGTCCTTCCAGCATATCCGGGATTCATGGTGATAAAAGCCGCGCACTTTTGAATCAGCTTGATTTCCCGTCCCTCAAACATAAACCTGCAAACCCAGACAATGTCCAAGCGTCAGTGATAAATGGTTGTTCTCGCACCTTTGTAATTTAGCAGCTTTGGCATTGCGGATGGTGATGAGCTGTTGCGCGATAACCGAGAGCACTTCGATATCGATGCGGTTGAATTCATCAAAACAGCACCAGGCGCCCGACTGGGCCAATCCGGAGAAGAAGCGCCCCATCATCTTGTAGTCCAGGCCCTCCGAGCAGTTGAACACCACACATTGAATGGCCAGAGCCTTGGCCAGGTCTTTGGTGGTTTCTGTTTTGCCTGTTCCTGCAGGACCTGCCGGGGCTCCGCCTAAAAACACATCAGTCACTTGGGAACCTACACCTGAACCTTGTACACACCGAGGTCAAGTTGAAGGGCACCCATCAGGCACAAATAGCACTTGTCGGTTAGGGGCGTAATGACAAGAACACCGCCTGCTCCTAGGTATTCGTACCCGTAAAGGTAAGAAGCGCTGGACATTTTAGCCAGACAGTCGTCGATGTTTTCCATCCAGTAGTAGCGCAACACCTTCAGCCAATCAAAGTTGTTGCTACAAAGAAAAAACGTTGAAAACCGCATCGGTTGAATGCGATCCTCCCAATTACCTATTGCTAACTTTGCTTTTAACCATGTTTTGAATGGTGTCCCTTGCATGCACATCAATAGTAATCAGGGCTATCAAAATCTTGCGTGTTACCGAAGCCAAATCAGATCTGACCAGGACCGCCAGGTCATTTAAATCCTGCAAAATTGGGGCTGCACCAATGGATGCCGCCACGCCATATCTGTGCATACCTTAATGCACTTCTGCTCGTATTGCTCCATTTTCTTCATTACGTTGCCTTCGCCGTCCAGGATTTCATGGACTCCTTTGGCCCACATTATCTGAGACACTGTGAGGATGATCTGGTTGGCGTGGCACACCACCCATTCAGTTCGGGGTTTTTGCATGTAATGGCTGATTGAAACCTTGATCGGAAATGCGCCATAAAGTGCCGCAAAGTATTTGGTAGATTGATTTTACCTTCATGCACTTCTTCAAGCTTAAGAACATGGATTCCTCCACTTTTCCCAGCCAGTCTTCGACGTTGCCCCGCGCTTTTAAGCCCTTGCTCAGCTGCACTCGTTCCCCCTCCGGGCTAATCATTGCAATAATGTCCGTGGTCAGAACCATGGTGGGCGCCTTTTCTTTTTTGCCCTCCTTTGCGCCTTCTTTGGATTCTTCTCCTTCAACACCTCAAAGGTGGAAAACTGCCTTCGGCATATTTATGGCGACTTACCTTCTTCTGCCGGCTTCATTCCAAACTCCAGTTTTGAAATGGCGTCAAAGCACTTACGCAAATGTGGCTGAACAGCATGGGGATTCCTGAATTTCCATGGTGTTTTAACTAAACATTATCGGAGAGTTTATGGAAAAGCTCACCGAGTTTGGGCCAAAATATCCAGCAGCTCGTCATTGGACAGGAAGTAGAAGCGAGGGAAGGCAACTCGCTTGGTTTCCAGATAGGATTCCAGGCATTTCATTATCTGCTCCAACAGAGCGTTGTTGCGCTGGAAAGTCTCCAAAAGTCCAGGTTGTAAAGTCGCTTCCATTGCGATCGGCATCTAAGCAAGTATCTGTTTAGAATTTCTCTCTAAAAAATTACGTCCAACTTTAAGTCACCTTGGCAGTTCTTCGCATAATGTCCTTCCAGGACTTATCGACAATGACAAACAACTTGGCTTCATTGGGCAACTGCCTTTGTATGTCCGGTGCGGAGAAAATGACCTCCAAATACACCCAGCTTTGTTGGCACATCATCCATTCATCCTAAAGAACAGGAATGAGCATTACAACGCGAGAGAGTCTCGAATAGTTTATACCAGGGTGTGTGTAAAGAGGTCTAAGTTCTTCTGCCATTCTTCCACGCGACTTTTAATAGGGCCCACATGTCTGGAGCTAGCAATGGTGGTGATGTTAATGTTGCTCTCATCCAGAACTGCTTGCACGTCCTCGAGAGAGCCCAAAATAAAAACATCTTTGGCGTCCTTATGAGAAATGACGATGTACTCCAACCCCTTCCAAGCTTCCTCCACCTGTAGGTCGCAATGATTTCAGTTGCAATCAGAGGAAGTTTTTGTTAAACGTGCCTTGCGCAAAAGGGCCTCCAATCCAGCTTCGCTGCTTGCTTGACCTGAGATCTCCATCAGCTCCTGAGGGTAGCTGAACACGTTGAGACTCTCCAGCTGTTCCAGGGTCATTTCTTCCTCAGCTTTGAACTTGTGATTCAACACATTCTCCACCTTTATCCAATGTCTGGCCTTCAAGGCAGGATTTCGCAGGTATGTGATCACTGGAAGCTACAAACCCACGCTTTAGGCAGTTGTACAGGCACGCTCACAGCTAACCTTGTCTTTCATCAGCTCTACTTCGTCTTTGAGCTTGGGAACGATGAGGTTGGGAGGTAGGCCCTTCTCCAGCTGGTTGATATTCTTCACGTTCTTGGCGGTGAAAAGGTTCATGTCCTCCACATTAAGCGTGCCAAAGTCGCAATGGTACCATTCATCCACGGTTTTCGCCCAAGAATCGACGCTTTCCCACAACAGCATGCGGAGCTTGACGTCGTTCATCACTTCTTCCAGCATATCGAATCTGGATACTTCCAGCTGGAAGAAATGCCACTTGGGGGTTAGCAGGGGTAGTCTGCGGGCTGGTGGTGTCTCACCCGAAATTGCTTTTGGTAATTCTTGAACTCCACAGCCTTGGTTTGGCAGGTCAGCAATCTGTCGTAAAGATCGGCCAAAAACTCGCTCACTTCGTCGATGTTTGAGGCAATATCATACAGCCAGGGTTGCTAGAAGACGTTACAGTTTTAAGCTGTACCGACCCGAAGTTATCTTACCGTGCACTCGTCCTTGATCAGTCCCACTTCCGAAATTAGCCCACTGATGTCCTTGTTCATCTGGTCGTTGAAAGCCTTCACGATTCGGCCAGTTTCTTCGATTTTCTTGTCCACGAAGTTCCTCAAGTTCCCCAGCGACACGCTCAGCCCTAGATAGTTGGTCATTTCCTCCTGCGCCACTGGGATGGCAAACTCTTCGGTGATATCGTAGAGCTCCTTGCAATAGTCCAGCTGTTCCTCCATTTTATCCACTCTGGATGTAGCCTCTTCGATGTATTCCAGGTACTTTACGTAATCTGCAGTTGAGACTGGTTCCTGCCCTAAGTAGATCTCTGTTTCTTCGACCTGCTGGATCAGGCTGCTGACTTTTTCGTGGCCGATCCTATGAAAGAATGATGTGTATCTATATCCCACTTTGAACATTGTTTGATACTCACCAGGGAATTACGTTTTTGGCTATTTCCAGCAATCGACGAGGTTCAGGCAAGGCAGTGTCTCTAAAGTCGTTGAGCATCAGATAGAGCAACCCCAGTGGTTGTGTCTTGGTGATTTTCTCAATGGTGACAATCTCGTTGTGGTATCGGATGCACATGTTTCGGAAGTTTTCAGTAACTGAAAGCGTTTTCAATATTGTACACGAGGGAATACAAGGAATCGAATCAATATTACCAGTTTCTCTTTGTACGTCCTCCTCCTGCACCCTTAAATCTTCCGCGAAAAACTCCCGAATGTATTCCAATCGTTTCACGTAGGTGCTAGCGCAGTTATAATTCAGCTCAAAGTAGCCGAACACTTTTCTGGTGTCTTCTTCCAGCTTCTCGTCTTTGCCTAGGTAGAAATCCAGTGTGGGCCCCCAACCGCAAATGCGGTCTTCGATTTTCTCGTTTATCACCGGCCTGGAAATATATTCACCACTTTGGATCAACCACCTTTTGGGGTCACTTACGTGGTGAAGAGAGAATAGAACGGGTCAGCGACAAATGATTTCACTTCTCTGCAACTTTGCTCCCACAGCTCAATGGTCTGTTGAAAGATGCACTTGGCCACGCCTAACGGAGGGTCTAGCTTCACCTCTTCAGGCTCTAGCATCACGTTAACCACGAAGAGCGGCAACTGACCAAAAGAAGCTTTATCTGAGTATCTAAGGTTGTTCAAAAATTGACGGGAGTTTACCGAAGGATCTTCACTTTCTCGGCCAGTTTCCAACAGGGTGTCCACCTCAGTCCGCTCCAGTTGTTCGTCAGGCGGCAGATATTTGGAGTGCTTCTCAAAAAGTTCATTCAGGGCGTTGATGGAGTTTATTATCAGTTGATGAAGCATGTTGATGGACATGTAGTCGACCAGCATGATGTACCTAAAAGTATTCGAGCGTTCAGGCTGTTTGAAGTGGTTTTTGTGACTTACGCCGCAAGGCGCTCGCAGAATTTCTTCTTACTGGCTTGCTCTATGTAGGAGGCTTTCTGCTGCCTTCGTCTTCTCTGATCTAGAGTTGTTGAATGGGTTTATGTTGCAAGTTAAGCTCAATAATTAAACTAATTAAAAACGGTACCTTTTTGTTCATCAACTATGCGCTCATCAGCAACAAATCCTTTGGCCAACAAGGCTCCATGGCAAGCATTCGCCACAATTTCCTTGGCGAGCTCATGAAATTCTGCGATTTCCATCCGTATTTTATTTAGTTTGTCCATCTGTAAAGTTCCAGTTATCTCTGACTTTCCTTAATTTTTCTTATATCGACCTGATTTTCTATAAAGTAAAACAGCCAGACGTTCTCTGTTTGGCTGAGCTCCACAAAGCTGGTGTCCACCATCTTGTGGCACATGTACTGGATGTCGATCAGCCCTTGTCTGAGAAGGGGATTCAGAAGGAACATGTTTTGCGACAAGTGCTTTTGAGCAGAGGTAAACTTGCAATAGATAATATTCTTGCGCCACACGTAAAAACCCTGTGAATTATCCAGGTTTTACTGCGAGTGCATGGGAATGGAAGTCTGTGTACCTTCCACTTTCTGAATGTTCTGAAAGTGCGGATTTTCATCAGGCGCTGGAACATGTCGTATTCGGCTTCCCATTTGTCCAGAGGTGTAAACACTACTTCGCTCCCTATGTGCTGCATTACGCCTTTGGCGCTCATGGTGAAGAAGTTGTTCTTGTCCACCTCTTTATACCCAACCACTCTGGAAGTGCTGGGTGGATCAAACAGAGTGATCAGTTGACTCTTAATACTCACTTGAGCATGTAGGGGTTGAATCGCTCAGAGCTTTTGGGAACGGCGTAGGTAAAGTAGACAAATGAGCCGTCTTTGGACCTTCTCATTTTGTCGATCCATTCCTTCTGATCTGCCACTTTCGTTAACTTTTGCGAGGTGTCTTTGACTCTGCTAAATTAAGACGTGATACTCAATGCAACTGGTATACCGGGAGGAGTTAACTGCCTTATGCGCTACTTGCCTCTGTTCTTCCTCAACTTTGTCAAAAAATGTTACTGCGGTCTGAATGCTTGGTTGACCAGAACTTCCCGGCCCTATAAAGCGTGAATCTGCAGTTGAATTGATAATTGCAATCCAAGTTTTCCTACCTGATTCGCCGACTACTTTGGCTTTTATAGGCGGGAGTCGGCGTCTTTTAGTCAAAATGTCCTCTTGGTACTTCTTGAAGCCAGTCTGAAAAACGGGTTTAACACGCCCATATTTTTGTTATGTCTTGTCCGTTTTACCAATGGTTCGGGTTCCTCCTGTTTGAACTCGATCTTCTCCAGCAATCGCTTATGCGGAATATGAAACGGCACTGCATTCGACCTCCGAGGTCTGAAATGAGCAAATACACTTTAAAAATACCTCGTATATTGCTGTTGCCGGGCAACTCGAGTTTGTTTGACCCTTTTCGTCTTTGTATAATCTGGTATCAGGCAGCCAAAGTGAGTATTTCGCGTTTCGGGGGGTTTGAAAGCATTTAAACACTTACCCGTGTGTAGGCATAGGAGGGGCACACATCAGCCGAGCCCCCAGCCTCGTCCTGCCCTTGAGACTCGGCAGGGAACTGCCCCTGAACCCATGGGACCCAGAGGCGCTCTCCCCATCGCCCCTCTGAGTCCCCCCGGACCCGCTTCCGTCCGTTTTTCAGGCAGGAGGCCGAAAATCACCAGCTAGTCTTGCAGGGACGCTCTGTGACTTGTTTTTTTATATTTTTATTTATTAAAGTTTTTACTCGAAGAACGCGAGTTTATTTGAGTCCTTCGCTACCTTAACAACCACAAACATTCGTTTGTTTCGGGGCGCTCGATAAGGGATGATGAGGATCGGTTGCCGGGCACCTATTTGATTTTTGCAGATTGGGGGAATAAAATATTCACGAAACGTTTTGAGAGTTGCTTTGCATTTTATTTTATTACATGGCCTTTAAGGTTCATACGTAGGTTGTACACAGTGAAAAGGCGTATTCCTGATGGTTTCTTTAGCGAAAGGGTGACCTCATAGGAATATGCCCGTTATTTATACAGGGTTATTCACGCTATACGGCACGGAAGTTTGCGGCTAAACCGTTTGATTTTTTTAAAGTATTATTTTATGAATTGTCCGACGCCTACCGAGTGCAAATTTTAAAAATATTTTCGTAATGTACAGGGTGTCCCAAAAGCTCTGAAGGTATCAAAGTTGCGTTTTTTTAAATGGAATGTCCTGTATATTATTGCATTTTTGGATTCGCTGAACAAAATAAGTGTCTGTTTTAATAATAATAATTGTAGACGTGTTTGTCGTTATTTTAATATTATTATTGTGTTGCTAAGTGAAAATGAAGAATTGTCCAAGAGAAGAGCGTATTGACATGGACACCCTTGGAGAATCTCATAAAAATTGTTTATTGGCTTCTCGAGTTTATGCTCAAAAGTTTCCTGAAAGAAATCATCCTAAGCCAACAGTTTTTAAG